GAAACATGCATTCCCCGGGGCCGCCCTGGCGGCGGCCCCCCGCGCACCACACAATCCGCCGCGCCTGGTGCAGGTGACCATCGGACGCGCCGGCGGGCCGGCATTTCCCACGTTCGACCATCCCCAATGGATGTCGCCCCCGAGCGCGCGGCCGACTGCCGCGGAGGTCCCGACTGACACCGGGCCGCCCGGGCCCGCACACACACACACACACACCGGCGCATGCCCGCGCCAAGGAGCTGGCAGCGTCTCCCCCTGCGACCCCCGGGCCGGGAGACGCGACGCGCGCACGCCGCGCCCTCACACACACACACACACAGGCACACACAGGCACACACAGCCGACAGAACAAACAAAATCCCTCGAGAGACACGCGCATACCTACACACACACACAGACGCACCCCCGCCCCCGCCCCCGCCCCCGCCCATCGGCCAGCAGCCATGCCGCGGACGAATAGCCCGCCCCGGCCCGCTGCCAGGCTCAACGGAGCCCGGAGGGCGTGCCGGACCGACGCACGAAGGCCAAGCCCCACGCACAGCGCGGTCGGCCTGGTGGCACCCACCGACCCGCATCATGCCCACAGGCACGCCCCCGCCAGGAAAAGATGCCTCCCACCCCCGGGGCCCGCACACCGGCGCATGCCCCCGGCCGGCGGCCATCTGCCACCATGCCCCGGGGCTTAGGACCCGCCGGGGCGGCGACGCCCCCCGCGGGGCGGCCCTCGCGGGAGGGTCCCCGTAAACCGGTCTGGGAGGCCGCCCCGACCGGCCCCCTGGACGGGCGGCAGGAGCGAACCCGCGTGGAATATTCCCTCCCCCCCCCCCGCCTGGCCCCATCCCCATCCCCCCGGAGACCCGCCCACGCATGACCCGCCCGCCCCCTCCCCTCCGCCGGGGCCGAGCGAGAGGGCCCATTCCCGAACCTTCCTTCCCCCGGCCTGACGCCCAAGCCACGCCCGGCGCCGCGTCCTGCCACAACGCCGGCACCGCCCCCGCCGGCCTGCGCCACCAATGAGCCCCTCTGCCTCATGGATGAGGCACGCCGCTCCGAGAGGGGGCGTGGGGGGGGGCGGGGGGGCAAGGCCCCTGCGCCCCCACCCCCCCCCCGCCGAAGTGTGCATCCCACATGGGGCGCCCCTCGGCCCCGGGGGGGGGAGGTCGAGGGGCGCCTGTCTCACCTGGGCAGGGGCCGCCTGGATCCAAGCCGGGAGGGGGGGGGAGCACACCGACAAAGCGCGCCGGCAACCATGCCTGCGCGAGCGCCCCTGTCGCAGCCTCCGGGGACACGGACGCGGCGTTCTGCCCCACAACAGATGCCGCCCCCTCGCGACACCCATCGCTGGCCCTCTGGGCGCGACTGGGGTTTGTCATTCCCGACGCCGATCCCAGCCCGGGCCTCGGGCAGCACGCGTGGGGGGGGGGGGGGGGGTCTCCGCTCGCCCCCCCCCCCCCCCCCCCCCGCCGGGGACCGCCAGGCCCGACAGGACGCGCACGCCACCACCACGCACCCCGCGCATTCGCCTCCCAAGCAAACACATGTGCCAGGTGCCTGCCCCCCCGAGGGCCCCCGTCGCTGGCATGGGGGAGCCCCCGGGCGCGTGCTGAGCACGCAGCCTCGCGCTGCCGCACCTCTGCCACGGTGTTTCAGCGCGTCGTGGGAAGCGAACGCCCCCCCCCCCCCCCCCCCCCTGCTGTGTCCCCGGCCC